GGCCCCGCCCCGGGGGAGCCCGCCAAGCCCCACTCGCTCTCCGTCGCCTCCAGCGCTACCCACGCAAGATCCAAATCTGGTGAGTGGTCTGGGCCACCGCGGGGGCGGACGCCAGGCTGGCCTGAGGGGCGGCGGCCTGAGCGCAGCCGTGCCCGTGGAGGAGGGCCCCTCTGCTGGGGCTGCCATCTCTGCTGCCTGAGAGAGCTGAGCGGGAACCAGCCCCGGGCGGGTGGTTCTGGGCACAGCCCGCCAGGGGCCAGGCCGACCTGCCCCGCTCAGCCTGGTCCTTGGCACCCAGAGGTGACGGGCCACACAGGCCCCAGGGAGGGCGTGGCGGACACCGCCGGCACCCTCTGCACCCCCGGACGCCGGAGAGCCCAGCACAGCTGTCGGGGCCAGGGCTGCCCGTGCTGGGCTGCCGCCCACGCGGCGGGGTTGGCCATGCTGCCCAGGCCGTCTGCGGCCTGCACACCCGTCTCAGCGGCGCGGGTCTCTGCGGGGACGGGAAGCCCCGTGTCCCTGCCACTTCTCCCCACCCAGCTGCGATGGTCCCGGCAGCGTCAGCTCGAGGTTGGCCCGACTCCGCTCCTCCCGGCGGCCTCCGCGTCTGAGCTGAGCGTGGGCTGCAGCCCAAGAGACAGCAGGCTGCAGGGCTGCGGCCCTGGGCCCGGGTGTGGAGCTGGCGGCCCCTCCTGGCCGCCTGCAGGGCCATCCCGGTGCTGGACCGCGAGGGTGTCTGACCTCGAGCGCCAGAAACGAGGCGGCTTTCTGAGCTGGCGGTGAGGCGCTCAGCCCCGTCCCGGGCCTGGCCGGCCTGCGCAGGACCTCGGGCCTCCTGCCCCGGCTGCCTGCCCGCTCACGCTCCCCGAGCCCAGGCGCGGGGATTCTGACAGACTGAAAAGTCACGGCGGGCTGCGGGGCGGGGCGCGGTGGTCCTGTGCCAACAGCCGGTGTCCTGCTCACTGCCCGCATGGTGTTGATGGCAGGTCTGACCCGTGCCAGGGGCAGCGAGTGTCCAGCGGGTCCAGGGCCTGCACCTGCCCGGCTGAGTGGCCGCTGTGTCTCAGGCACAGGTGGCGGCCGCGGCGGCGGTGCCTCCTGGACCTGGCCACCCGACCGACCCGCGGCCTGTGCGTGGGCGGGTTCGTGCAGACTGGGCATCTCGGAGTTTTGTTTCTGGCGGGAGAGCACCCTTCTATCAGCTCGAATAACTGGAAGAAAAAACTTACTTAAGTCCTATGTATGTTCTTCCAAAGCCAATGATGGAAACTGGCCCACGTTAAAGCAGAATTCCAGCTCTTTGGTCAAGGTGGCACAGATGGCCGGCGTGGACTGGAAGGACCCGGCTGCGGAGGGGCCGCTCAAACCGGGGGCCGTCTCGAGCCAGCCTGTGCCCCTGTCGGCCCTGGGGGCCCCGGAGAAACCGGTAGGCCCCGCTCGCCTCTGCGCCAGGTCCTGCACCCTGTCCGG